TGTATTTATCCTGCAGTTCAGTAGGGAGCAATACGAAATACACAACTGTATTACTATTTCCACCAGAACCAGCATAATATAATAGAAATTTGCTCACAAATGCATTAAGTCTACCAGAGTGAAAGTTGTGAGAGAATACATTTTATTTTCCCTTGTTTTGCACAAATTTCATATATATGTTGGAATCTTGTATTTAATTCATACTTTGTGACAAAGTAACATGTGTTCACATATTATTGTGGTTGGTGGGTTTGAGGTAATCTCTACTACTACTACTACTATGGCATAACAGCCCAAAATTGAGCCCTAGCCTCCTCGAGGTAATCTCTCACTTGTTATAATAAATATGTGAACTGCTATATGGAAATACAACTTTTGCTTTCAGATTTTTACATATTGTAATATTTGGTTTTTGCACGTAGCAGACAAAGGGTAAAATTAGGTTATGTGATACCATCTCTACAAAACCCATCTGCACAGGATTTTATAAATCATCACCACAGTTTATATATTACACAGAACATGTTTCAACTAGTACCTGCAATCATCAGGTGCTTTCAATAAACAGTCGGTTAACATATATAAAACTTGTTCACATGTTAAGATAGTACTGGAGTCGTGGAACTACTCATTGCTGTAAATACCCAAGATGTTTTAACACTTTGGTGTTTTATGAATACAGTGCACACTTCTGAAATAATTGCAGTTTGTTGCTGTAACAGTGATCATAAGTCCAAAAGTGTTCTTTTTATTTGTATTCTAATGTTTATGGACTATTTGCAGCAACAATTCATTATAAAATAGTGTATGATTCCAGTGTCATTTTAAGATGTGAATTTGCTGTTTGTGTTAAAAGTGACTATCGCTTATGACTCCATGACCTGCTAATCAAATGTCTGCAGATGGTGGAATTTCATGGTACATGCCTGTGCACCTAGCAGTTAGATATAGTGGGAATCACTGATCTTTCCTAACTTTGAATTTTAGTGACATTTTCCAGTACCACATTCTGTTAACAGTGATACATTTTTCACAAGTTTACTGAATGTATTGTACTGATGTTTTTATGGTTTTTTAACTATTTTTAATTTGTGCATCATATATTTGTTTTATCTTATGACTATAAATGTGACCAAGGCTTTAGAAATCAATTACAGATTTCCAATGAGACAAGTGTTAGTGTGCCACTAGAAGATTCTCTTAAACAGCTGTCTAATTTGCGTGTGGTTGAGAAATGTGTGGCTGCATTAGAAGCCAGCAAAGCTGGAATGTATGGGTGCCAGCTGAAGTGGGATTAATTGTTCCCCAAAACATGAAATGAGTGATTAAAGAATTAATTTAGACTGTTAAGTTTACAGTCTCTTCTCAAAATGTTAACACTAGAAAAGGTGACCAGTTGTGTATACTTGCAAATTTTCTCGAGATAAAAGTTACCATTCCCTTGTTATGTAGCCAATTAGAGAACAGAAAAGCTAGAGTAAGAACTTTTGCTTTCTTACATTGTAAAAAGAGGTATTGTGCATGGAAAAGTGTAACAAGAAATAAATCTACAATATGTTGAATGATGGATTTATAAAATTTTGTATTCAACATTAGTTATTTAAAAAGAGGAATATATATAAAATATTAAATATTTATGATTTGTATCAGGTTAGAATCTTTTGTGTTTAACTTTTCTTTAAGAAAATCATCAGCGTGGAATTAACATATACGGTGTAACCTCAAAATAACGATAATTTGTAGTATTCTAAGATCGTGTGACGTAGACTTGTAGGCCCAGTAGGCCAGTGATGTGCGCATGCTCGAAAAAAAAACCCCCCCCCCCCCACCACCACCACCAAATTCGTGATTGGTGAACCTTGGTCTTTAGTAGTTTAATATATGTTTGGCACTGCTCAGTTGTTGGTAGTACCGTTCATGTGTTTTGTCACAACCAATTAATTATTTTATAACTTGCAGTGTTATAAAGTATTACTTGTGAAGTTTTCATCAAGTTTACAAGCACAGCGCTTTTCGGCCTACTTGTAGTGCAGCATGTGACTTCTGCAATCGCATACGTGACAGGTATTTACTCTGGCTTACGGTAAAGTAAAGGCACAAAATTTCAACACCGCGATATTCATAAATACGCTTTGACTTCTCCAGATTGTAGCACACACAATCAGATACATAATGTTTTAATAGATAATAGGAGTCAGACAAATATAATTGACGTGAAGTCGTTCAGAGGAGCAAATTGTGACATTGACCATTATCTGGTAGTGCCTAAGTTAGAGAGAGGCTTTCAGTGATTAGACGAACTAAGCAAAAATTCGACACAGGTTTGATTTGAAAAAAATAAATGAGGGAGAGGTAAAGGATATCAAGTTAAGATGTCTAATAGGTTTCAAATTTTAGAGACGGTTAAAAGTAGTGAAAGTGTGGATGTCAACCGAGAGTGGGAAAATGTCGGGGACTACATGAAAATTTCAGCCAAAGAGACACTAGGTTGCTACAGGGGAAAGCAAAATGAACCATGGTTTGATGAAGAATGTTCAAATTTAATAGATCGAAGGAAGCAAACACAATTTCAATGGTTGCAGGACCCAAACAAAATGAATATGGATAATCTATGAACGTGAGACGTGAAGTTAGTAGGACCTTTAGGAATAAGGAAAGTGAATATCTGAAGGGCAAAATTATTGAACTTCAAACAAATAGTAAGGACAAAAATATCAGATATCTTTACAGAAGCATAAATGATTTTAAGAAAAGATATCAACTTTAGACTAATTTGGTGAATAATAATAGTGGGAATTTACTTGCAGATCCAATGAAAATTTTGAATTGGTGGAAAAATTTCTTTAACCAGCTCTTAAATGTTCATGGGACTGATGATGTTAGACAGATTAAAATACATACAGCTGACCCATTAGTGCCAGAACCTAGTTTAGATGAAGTTGAACAAGCCAATAAAAGGTTGCAAAGTTATAAATCTCCAGGTATTGATGAAATTCCAGCAGAATTAATTAAGGCAGGTGGCAAATGTTTGATATGGAGAACCATAAGCTAATTCAGTTAATTTGGGATAAGGAAGAGATGCCACAACAATAGAAGGAATCCATAATTATACCTATTAATGAGTAGGAGGACAAGACTGAGTTTGCTAATTACCAAGGAATTTCTCTACTATCAACCTCAACAAAATTCTATCAAACATTCTTCTGGCGAGTTCAACTCCATATCATCATCATAAAAAACAGCACGGTTTAGGTTATTGAGCCTGTTCCATCTCCAGACTTATTTGGTCTTTCCATCTTTTCATGGGTCTTCCTTTCTTGCATTTTCCTTTAGCCTGTTATTTTATTATTTTGTATGGGGTGCAATTGTTCATTCAAGAGATGTGGTAGTACCAGGGGTTTCTATAATCATTTATGATGTCCATAATATTTGTGATGTTAACTCCATATGTGAATGATTTTATTGGGGATCATCAGTGTGGGTTTAGACACAACAGATCGTTTTAATGTTTAAGTCTGCATGGCAGTGGATGTGAGAAAGACAAAGTACTTGTACAATCATCTGTGGTACACTTTGCTATGTGACTCTTCCAGGCAGCATGGTCTTCCTCTACTGCAGGCCCCCAACTGCTGCTTGGCCACAGATTTTTTTTCAGTCTCTGCAAATTTATGATATAAAATGTATATTAAACTTTATTATATATCTCACTGCATCATTTTACTTACAATGAAAATCAATATTAGTCATATGAAACAGTATACTGGCATTCAGTTATACTGATATCATTTTAAGAATGTTTTAAAAGCCTTTAGACCCGACAGAAAGCATACAATAAAATCTATGTGAAGGAACAATTCAGCAGATTGTTGAAGTAATTTCAGGGATACGCACTTGATATAGGGTTCCACGTGATATTGCAAGCATGAGGATGATTCCAATAGGAATGCAGATCATAGAGGCTAGTGCTGCAATCCAGCCCAATGCATGGGCCCATTCAGGATACCTTTTTCCATTGTAAGTGACTGGTGAATTGAATGCAACTGTTGTCATGAAAATGAACTGTAATTAAAGTCACAAACAGTAATAATATGAATGTTTAAATATTCAAGGCAACATGTTTTCTTGGATTAATTTTATAACCCCCTCACCAGTATGCCAGGAACAAAAATTTGTCATATGGAAAGAAAATAAACATTGTAGTGTACTCCACTTATTTAGTGAGCATTCACCATGCAGGATTTTAGGTCCCAAAACTGGAAGGGTAATATTGTGTTAAGAATGGAACAAATAATTACTTTTATTACTGTCTTAATAGCAGCAATTGTAGGAGACCTGTCACCAGTCACTTTACTTATAAGAATTATATATTTTTTTCTTTTATTAGTTTCAAAAATGAGGGATTATAATACTTACCACCAAAATGGTTGGTGTTACATATTTCCAAGACATTTTCCACCACACATGAACTTTTTCTTGAGTCATGAACTCCAAGTCACGAATGAAATTTGAGCAACCTTGAAATAAATTCATAGTTTTTTTAAACCGAATAATGGTACAATGGCAGATGGATGCCCCCCCCCCCCCAA